AATTTGAATCAAATTTGAGACGTAATTCGCATAACAACAACTGCTAGAACACAAAATGATTTACCTGTTAGCAGTTATGAAACACCTAATCAATTTCAAAGTTTCGGTTAAATTAGGTCCATAGAGGTGCTTCCCTTTTTGGCCAAATGTACTTAAAACTGCCCAGAGTACACTTCTTCTTTGTTTGAGCAAACACACAGAAACAGTGGAAAACAGAACGTAGAAAATGGCCAGACAAGTGTCAGTAAGGGATTTGTCGGTACACCTTACACAGTAAAGTTTTTGGCCTTTTGTGGATGCCAAGAGGTCAGAGAGGTTTTCATTTTCCACAACAGGATAGCATCAGTTCCCCATCCTAAACTTATTGTCTAACTCTCTACTAAAACGAGCTAGTTGTTGATGTTGCTCACGCTCGGCCTATTGTAATGATAACATGCTGCAACGCACTGGAAACAACCTGCAGAGCTAACTGTACGTTGCTGTATTCACAAATAGTACAGAGTGTGCTGAAGTGCCTTAGCCAGGATGTGCTAACTCAGGTTCAGCAGTCTCTCATACCGGATGAAAAGTTCAGATTTTGTATGTGAATGTTTGATATCTTTAATTTTAACAAACTATTTCAAATGCCTTTTGGGAATCAAAATTGAATCTGAATCTTTCCAATGAAAGACAGACCAATATTTCTTTAGTTTGGTATTTTGTATAGGTTTTAGCTGTAGCTTTAAGATCAGTGTAGTTCTTTGAGCTGTCCGAGGTTCCAGTCAAACCAGCGCTGATAAAGGCCCGGTCACACCAGCATGTATAAATGAACAATGAAATCACAGCAAGTAGTGGATTCTCTCACTAGTTGACATACTTATTGAGTTAAACTTAGGAGAAATTAACCAATAGCAACAGTTCTGGACTGTCCTGATCATTAAGAGAAGAGATAGAGATCTTATCTAGCTAGCTAGCTAGCTATCCGATCTAGCTAACTAGCTAGCTATCTCTCCTCTGTTGACCAGAAGTTATCTAAGCTAATAGGGCTTGCTCTCAGTTAGCAAGTCTTGTTAGCTTTGAGAACTTTTATCCCCATTGTAGTAACTGTTTGTAAAAATAAATGTTTTACAATCTCGAGAACAAAATGCCTGGTAAAGTAAAAGTACAGTATAGAGAAAATAGAAAAAAAAACTCAAAAGGAGCTATCTTGATTGATTAGCGTTAGCTTGTTTGCGGCTTGCTACTTTTGCGGCTTGCTACTTTCCCCCTCTGTCAAGGACACACACACACGTATTATGCTGTGCTAGCTTGCGGTGTGACTAGTCACAGGGGTAGATTTCATTTATTTTTGTTCATGAAAAACAATAGGAATCTTTAGCTCAACGTGGACCCAAACCAATTCTCAATCTAGTGAGTCTCAGCTAACGAAATGACCACAGCAAATGTCCACTTTCCTCTTTTTCTATTAATAAGGTTAGAGTCAAACCTCTTTACACACATATCATTGAGATAACTAATAATAATCTCTTTGGTCAGGAGCCTGACCTTTAGTGAGTGAATGACTGACTAAATAATGTTTAATCTAAGGGGAAAATCAGATTAACCTCAGTGCCCCAACCCTTGAACACACACAGACTGTGAGTCTCAGCTGCCCTGAGCTGACTCTTTCTTTGAGGGCTTACAGGTGACGAGGAGAATGAAACAGGAAGTTGTGAGCCATTTTGAGGCAAAGTCTTACGAGAAACCTGCATGTGTTTCTTGACTTTATCCACCGATTGTCAGACTTCTGTGCTGTTTCCCAGGGGCCAGCAAAAAGGGCACATAATGTGAATGTGCAAAACTTGATTATTTTATCTTTTAAAAATCTTTTATTTTGATCTGACTGATTTTTTTTCACGTGTCCATTTAAACAAAAAAAAAAATTCTATTCCTTTCCCTAATCTCTTTAACTCTTTGTGATTATTGTTTTGTGTCATAAATCTTATCGAGCAAAAAACAACCACTGTAAAGATGAAGCGACGTCTGGTCAAAGGCACAAAGTACTGTAATCTGCAGAGCGGACACCAGAGGGCAGCGCAGGGATTCTCTTATAACTTTTCAATGTGTCTCTGTGTCCTCTGGATTCACACTTGTCCACAAGGAGTGATGTTTCTTTTGACTTATTGTAAAAGTTGCATCCTCCATCTGTTCACTGTCAGTCTGTATCCTCCACTCTCTCACTGACCAGCGTTCTGCCTCTGCGTCAATGGAAAGTTGTGAATACTTCTATAAGAGGGCAAGTAATGCTTTGTCTATTTATTTTTAGATGCACACAAAGCAAATTGTACATATTATATTTATTCTATATATAAGGTTGTTTATTTTGTCATTTCATTTGGGCTCCGTTTCTTAATGTTGATGTCACTTTTCTCTTTATTTTTCTTTTGCAAAAGGCCAGTAGAGCTTCTTGATGCTCGCCGCAGTAGTAAAGGCGGTGAGGCTAATGAATAGCACAGTGCCTAATACTACCAGTCTTTTCAAACACATACTGTACGCACACACACACACACACCCTGTTACACACACACACACACACACACACACACACACACACACACACACACACACACACACACACACACACACACACACACACACACACACACACACACACACACACACACACACACACACACACACACACAGGGAAAGCATACTTATATAGAATGACCTTAACCTATCAGAGCCGAGCTCATCTCAGAGTAACCAATCAGGAGCTAGGTTCGCCACAGAGTAGCATTTCTTTAATTAGCTTTGATTAATATAAGATGTACAGTGAGTTGATTATGATGTAATGTAATACTGATGACACAGCAGTGGAGAGGAGGGCTGTTTGCAGCTTTTGTTCACAAAAAAATTAGAAAAGGGGAAGATTTTAATCCACAAACTAGGCAGAAAACCTGACGTGCAACAAGAAAAAAGGCACACATAATTTCTCCTTATGATTCCAGATGGTTCCCCCCATATTCAGCCTTAAAAACCCTACTGCCTTGTTCACCTTAGTGCTTCAAACCACCGAGCCCCTGGGAGCAAACATCCACATCACGATGGAGCCTTTGATTCAGACTTCAGCTCTGAGAAAAACAGTCTCATGGGGCTGAGGTCTTTGCAATTTCTGTATGTTGTTCTTGTAAAAGCCCTCTCTTTCTCTGAGGCTGGAGGAAGGCTCTCTCTCCCTGCAGGAATTTGTAAATTGCTGGAAATAAAGGACTATATTATTTCATACCATTCCTACGTCTTATTGTCTGTTTTTGTCAGTACACATGTTTAGAAGAAGGGATGATCCTCATGCTAAGCTAATGATCTGAGCCACATGTGGGCTTCTGTGGTCATTTGTTTCTCTCTTAGCTGCCCTGCCACTGATAAGAAATGTGTAACATATTTAACACGAGAGCTAAACTGTCATCCGAGGGCTATCTGGATGATCTGTTTTTCTTTTTTACATTTACTGAAAACCTGCAAAAAAATGAAAGACTGCAAAAACCTTTTTTTTTTTGCTACTCTGGCATTTATCCCCAAAAAATCCCCTTATTCACCAGAAGTTAGTATTAAATAATGACTCGTGAATATGAATATGTCCCGAGCCAACAGTAAAATACCAGATACTGTTTAATTGTAAGGCAATGCAGTGAAAAATATATATATATTAACTTCCACCAACAATGTTTAAATGAAAAACTCTTACACTGCAAACAAATGCTTTGGATAAAACATTTAATAATTGAAATTAAATAGATACAAATCATTACACAAAGAGATAAAAATACAATTCATCTTTAAATACATTGAACCAGTATAAAATATGTGGTTAAAAAACGCAAACTGACATGTGTGCAAACAAGCCAAATATATGAGAGAGGAAGGATAAGTACTACAATAGTGAATAATGTAAAGGTTTTGCAAGTCACTTTTTACTCTTGAGTTAATAGCTTTTTTATTGCCAATGTGTTATTGGATTGTAATCTAACTTAGTGCAGAACGTTCCTGTCTTTATTGTTAGCCACAGCCTGTTTTTCTGAGTTAGCAAAAGAATGATGTGTAATGCTAACTCCATGCTAACAGTGTTCAACAGTCAGATAGCTGTAACTTAGCTATGCAGATATATCTGGTATTGGTTGCTTTGTAACGTTAATGAAGCAATTTACAAACAGCAAGCTAGCCAATATAGCAGACAGTTCAGCCCCTGGAGTCTGGATGAATTAGCGAACTATTTTTGTAGAATTAACTAGCTAGCTATCTGTCTACGTTAGAAAGAAAGCTAACATTAGCTTACATCAGCTAGCTAAATCCAAAATCATATTCAGACTCATGTTTTGTGTGCCAGTCATTCATCGATTCGAACCAATGGTCCAAATAAAATGTACCGATAAAAACGTTATATACATATAATTGTAATGTATTTTACAGCATTATATCAACATGATACCGGAACAGGAGCGCTAGCACCAGTATGCTGACTTTAGTTTACTTAATAGCCACCGGAGTCATATTTACAATAATTTTCTTAAAGGTCACCTATTATGCAGAATTTACTTTTTCCTGTCTTTTCTACATCAACACGTGTCCCCTCTTCTTCATGTCTCTTCTACATCAGCATGTGTCCCCTCTGTGTAAAGAGACTCTGAACGTTTCAGGAACAAAGATTCTCTCTCTTTTTGTCCTGATCCATTTATATAAAAACCTGTCTGAAAATGAGCTGATCTGATTTTGGCCACTTTATGATGTCATAACGATGTTTTGGCTTGTGTAACCATTAGCCAATCACCAACCAAGGTAACCCCCCCCCCCCACCTTATCACCTGAATCTCCTCCTAGAGCACCATTGTGTTATTTTTAACCAAATCTCTCTCAGAGGGGCGTGGGGAGTGGCTCCTTATTTTCATCTAAAGCAACAGACAGAGAATCAGCACTTTGGAAACAGGGCTGAAACAGAGGGGATTATGGGATGCTGCAATGATCTGTTTGGTGTTTGGAGCCAAACACTTCAGAGACATGTTTTGTATATATCTGAGACCTATTGATGAAAAACAGTGTAATAGGTGACCTTTAAAGTTGAATATCAGATCTTTATCTAACAGGAGATGAGCAGAGGGTTTCCGCTGCTGGTTTGACACCCTGAAGATGAAACCAGGCCTTTCTCTCTGCTCTCTCCTCCTTCATCATCCCCTCCGATTCCCAGCAGATCCCTGGAGGACAGCCGGAGACAGAGAGCGTCAGCGACCTGCAGAACCTGACAGGGACCTGTACGGGGAAAATGTACCAATTACAATTCCAACAACGAACAAATTAATTAATGTATTTGTTTATTCCACACATGGCAGTTATTTTAAAACAAAACATGTACACTTTACAAAACATGTACACTACTGGTTTTTCAGTTTTTGTTTTTATAGCGCATGGTGGAAATGAGCAGGGAGAAGATCTTATTTTACCTGCCACTTCTTAAAAAAAAAATGAAATAACCATAAATAGTCAAATAAAAGCAATATTCTTTCAGTCACAGTTGCTTATAATTACTGAAACATAAAACCAGAACACAATCAAAAGTCAACTGTCTAATTACGCTTTCTTTATACATTTTTTTAAACATACAACATTTCTTACAGCCCTTTAAATCATTCGGCAAAGAATTCCACTTCTTTACGCCGACTACAGAGACACACATCTGCTTTAAAGTAGTACGTGCAAACTGATGTTTAAAGTGTTATTTCCTCCTATGATGCTCATCCTCTGAAATTAAAACTAATTTGTTTTTTATATTTTCTGAATACTTAAACACACCTACCATCTCCAGTCCTGCACACATCCAGAGTATCCATCACTATCTTCCCCAGGGTCCTGCGGGACACGTTCTGCAGGTACAGTGAGAGATTGTCTTTTTAGATTTATTCACTGAAACAAACATACAGTAAAAACAAACACAGCTTCATATCAACATGCACAACATATTATTGTCAGGTGTAATACCACAGTTAGAGTGGGGAACCATACAGTATTGTTCGATATTGAATAAACGGTTTTCTGTATTTTATATGACTTTTTTATAAAAAAAAATATTTCATAATGGCATGGTACCCAATCACACTTTGATTTCACTCCACCTTGTATTACATAATGTCATATGTCATGATACCCCTTTCTATTTCAAGGGGTCATATGTCATAGGACCACTGTATTGAGATAAAGTTAATCATCATTATGACATTATGAAATAAAATCTGGACTTTTTTTCCAAACTCAAATAAAAATGATATTCAATAAAACAATTTCACACATCTTGTAACACTTGAGGACATAAAAAGGAACAATTCAATTCTTATTTGGACATAGAAATGCCTTGCAGTTAAAGCGTTTCACCATACCCACTAAGCTTCAATACACTTCTCTTAAAAAAAACAAAAAATATGTTAATTATTGCTGTGTAAAATATGTTCTAGACATGTACAGTTAATATTGAAAGCTCTATGCACGTCCATTAGGATGGAATAAACACTAGATGGCAGTAGAGAGAGAAAGTGTGAGTGTGAGTGTGTGCGTGTGCGTGTGTGTGCGTGTGTGTGTGTGTGTGTGTGTGTGTGTGTGTGTGTGCGTGTGCGTGTGCGTGTGTGTGTGTGTGTGTGTGTGTGTGTGTGTGTGTGTGTGTGTGTGTGTGTGCGTGTGCGTGTGCGTGTGTGTGTGTGTGTGTGTGTGTGCGTGTGTGTGTGTGTGAACCTTGTTGCGTAGCTGCAGCAGCAGTGTAAGAGCATCAGTGAGTTTCTCCTCCAGCAGAGACAGACGTGTCTTCTCCTCCGGCCTCGTCTTGTCCTCTTCTTCTTTAGGCCTCTGGCAAACACAACACAGTATCAACTTGACTTCTTTCTTCTTACATTTCTCTTCCACTACAGACTAGTCCACAGGTAATTCTCTTTTTCCCATACCTCATTTTGACAACTTGGTTCTAGAGCAGGGGTGTCCAAACTTTTTTCACCGAGGGCCACATACAGAAACATATACGAAGGGCAGGGCCACTCTCTAGAGGTATATTGCCTCATAAGTTCAGTTATAAGTTAGCACAATCAATCAAATGTAGGTACATGATGCGTGTGAGGGTTGGGAGCTCGTACCTTAAAACAGAAGCCTCAGATTGATTATAATAAGGAGGAATATGAAGGGTATATTTCAAGCTTGTTATGTAAATAAGTCATTCTTATCAACTTAGATTTGTTAGAAAATGTTTCCAACTTTAATTGACTGCATTTATTTGAAAAGTGGTCTCATTAACACATGAATACTACTGTGTAATATATGTTTACATTTATATTTAAGAAGTACAATATAAGAAAAGCACACATTTCATTTGTGGGCCATATTACATTATGCTTTTTGAATTAGCTGAGGGCCGATTCAAAATGGTCCGCGGGACGCATTTTGTCCCCCGGGCCGTAGTTTGGACCACCCTGTTCTAGAGCTTTAAACCTGTTTGTAATAGCTCTTAGGCTGCATTTGATCCATTATGTTTTAAATGAAATTATCAACTGCGTTTCTCTCTCCCCACCTTTTCTTTTTCAAAGCTGCCTCCCTCTGGCTGCTCTTGGTTTTGTCCTTTCTGGTTGTAGCGCCCCCTGCTGTCCTTAAAAGTGCTGATGAAGTTTCTATCATGCAGGTGACTCTGAGAACCCATATGGCTCTGACATCTGCAGGGAGAAAGGAAAGGAAAAGTCAGACATGTTATATGGAAAATGTGTCCACAGTGGCGGTGCATGTTAGATGTTAGCTAACCCTTTTCCACAGCTGTGCAGTCGGCTCTTCTTCACCTCCAACAGGCAGCCCTGTCCTTCCTCTCTCATCCCTCTGTCATCCTCCTCTTCATCAGAGGCATCTTTCCCTTCCACTGCTCTCTGCAGACACCCCGCCTCTGAAAACAGTAGAAGCTGGTACTTTACTTTCTTAATACCATTTCACTTTGGGTTTGAAGCCTTTTTCAGACCATTTACATGCACACCAACCTACAGTATAAAACACACTACAGGAAAAGGGAAAAACCCCTAAAGGCCCGGACACACCAAGCTGACACCAAAGAACTGACACAGACGGACCCCCGACTGTTGTGTCGCCTCACGTCTCTGCGTCTTGGCCAACAGTCACTGGAACACTGGAACACACCGCAAAGACTTCAGCCGACGGCCAAGAAGCACGTACGAACTGCGCATGCGTGAGTGGCAATAACTCTCCTTACCAGCAGGCGGCGGTAGTGTGTATTCGTCATTCAAAAGAGGCAACAACCGGAAGACAGACTGCGTGATAACCGAGAGAAGAAGAACAGACTGCGTGATACAAACAAACAACAAATAGGGTGTGCGTTCCATTTTCACTCTACAGCGAGAAGCTCATGGGGCTTTCCCGAACCTGTGTCGAGAGCTGGAGTTAAATGAAATCTCAGATTTCCCTTCTTAATAGTTTGTTTGGGTCCCTCACTTCCGTTTCGCTTCTCATGCACTGATTCGCTAGCTGAACAGCCAATCAGAGTGATTTCTTTGGCCGACAGCCTTTGGCCGACTGCCCACCGATTCAACATGTCGAATTGGTGGGTTTTCGGCTGAAAAGGTGTCGGCACGGCTGAAAAGACACAACGGTGCGGGACACACCAATCTGAGTAGGGCGTGTCAACGCTCATCGACGGCCAAAATCGGCTTGGTGTGTCCGGGCCTTAAAAGCATGATAGGGCCTCTTTAAGAGTTCAGTTAGAAAGCATTCCTGATACCTAATCCCTCAGTGATCAATCTGTTTTCCAGCCACTCACCTGTCTTGTCACAGGCGTCATCTTCACCAATTGGGTACATGTGTTGATTTGGATTAGGGATGCAGGTGCAGCGGGATCTAAGGGTGGCAAAAGTAGAGGCATTTCACAAAGAGTTTGTACTAAAAAGGCTAACTTTCAGTATAGGAGATACCCTCTTGATTTGTCTCTCTCACTGTCAAAGCATCTTATTAGCTTTAAACAAACGTTGCCTTCATGCTGTGGAGATGAAGTCACACACAGCAGGTTTGAAGTATCTCTAGTTCGTGGTGGGTGCAAATAAAACATGAATGCAGTGGCGTTTGTTAAAAGTTAACCCTATCCATTTTTACACAGCACTCTTATTCAGACTGAGTGTGACTTGTGTGTAACTTAAGCTGCTGGCATCAGTGAATTGAATTTCAAATCAGTAGAGCACAAAGGCAAATGATGTGTAAATAGTTACACACACACTCCTTATACAGCAACATCCATTTATGCACTTCCTTCAGGATTGCTGAATGATGCATCCCATTTGATCATAAAGGGGAGGTGTGTGGCCAATTGTTAATTATTAGCATAGGTAACACCACCTTAACACTATTTAAGGGCAGGGGTTGTGCAAATAATCTGCAAGAATTGGTGAGATGCTGCCAAAACATTTCACAAGAAGAAGAAAAAGAACCTCAGCAGGAGTGAATTCAAAGTACTGTTAAATTAATTGACTTAAAACACAGTAACATGTCAGTACTGGTGATGTGGGGAAATTAAAAAGCATCTAAGAGCAGTAGAAAAGCCATCAGCAGCTGAAGGATTAAAATATAATCCTGCGAGGGCTTTTATAGTTTTAACGAAGATCAAGGGACGAGCAGTACTACGTCAACCCATAATAATCCAACACTCATTATAATAATAATACAATATATTAATCTAAATCAAATTAAAATGAAGGCAAGTGTTTTTTCATGTTCTTTACATTTAAAAAGTAAGTTTCCTTGCGTTGCATTAAACATTTTATCAAATGAGTTTTTCTTATACGTTTGTTAACTACTGTATAGGATAACCTCCACATATTAAATCCACTTTATGATTTTTGAAGCATAAATAAATACAATCGCGAGCAGTGGAAATCTTACGTTAGGCTATACAGGAACTACAACACGGTCACATAGCTGCGCGTCACCACCGCTAAGCCAAAGGCGGCTAATGTAACGGCTAGTGGCGTGATGACGTTTAGTAGTTTAGTTAGTCACATGTTAGCAACAGACGTTTTTATGACATAGAAGCTCGTAGGCTTGTGTTACAACAGATCTTAGGCTTCTAGCCACAAACATGTTGACTTCGGGACAAGGGAACGTGGTCAAATCCTATAACTCATTTCTGGGTTTTAGGACTGTTGATTTGTGTTCGTTGTTCTCGCGTCCAGGAGGAAGTTAAAAAAGAGACAATGTAGTCTCGGAAAAGGTTCAAATGGGTACTTTAATTAAAGGAGAGGTGTCATGGCCATTTCCACTGATCATAATTCCATTGTTGAGGTATACTAAAATAGATTTATACTGTGCATTTTTCCAAACTCACATTGGTTTCTCATACAGCATCTCTGTAAACTACTTGTATTCACTGAATTTCACTATCTGCCTTTAACGGCTCGTTGTAGCTCCCAAAGCTCCAGCCCCCACCCTCCCTGTGAGCACAGTGTGCTCTGATTTGTCGGGACGTTGTGAATCGCGCTGAGCTCCGTGGAGGTGTTGTTTCCTTGTTTAGGATACATAGCTAAACACAGCCAAACTCATCCTGAGCACACACAAAGTCACAGCCGAAGTAAAAACAATAAGTGTGGCTTGATATTGAGTAAGAAAAAGGTTGATAAACGCTGTGAGAATGGGTCTGCAGAGAGAACTTTGCTGCGATCCCAACTGTCTGTTATCAGCCTGCAGCCAGGGAGGAGAAATCAGCAGAGCTGCCTGCACTGAGTGTGTGTGTGTGAGGAAGTCCGTGGATTGGTCAATTTGGACCAATCAGTGGGGGCTTAACGTAACGGCTCCGCGGACGTAACGTAACGGCTCCACGGATTGGTCCATTTCGTTCCGGGTACGGGTTGACATCATGCCGTACCCGGAAGAATCAAATGGACAATGACGTATCTCCAACGAGGCGTTTTGGGGAGGTATTTTCTGTGTTAGAGTTTTACTCGCTACAGGGTGTACTTTGAGGGTTTGTGACTCTGCAGACCGTTTACATGCATAAAAACCTTCATAACACACAAGGGGACGGGTAATAACCGGAAAAGCATGACACCTCTCCTTTAAGTAACGTGGTTTGAAACAAACAGAGTGATACAGCAACACAGCGCTATGTCGGATGGGGGGAAGACGAGGGAGCGAGCAAATCTCGTCACCTCTGTCTATATCTGATGCATGGCTCCTCCTCTCAATGGCGGCTCTTGACGTAAAAGGGGAACCTCCCTCCTTGTGTTCTTCTGTGTCCGATATCGCGTAAATCAGAGGATTTAGACGTTGTTCATTGTATAACTCCACACGCCTTTTCTCCTCATACACTCATTCATGACTTTTTATTTAATGCATTTTAATGGCTGTAATCATTGTTAACGTAAAACCGGAAGTGACGTCACTGTTGACAACGGAGACCCCTTTCAATAAAGCTTTTCAAAATAAACTGTACATTCATTTAGCAACAACGTTAGCCACAAGCCAATGCTAACCGGAAATGTTTTCAGAATAAAACAGTTTTAAGCTTACTGTATGTTTAAACTAAATTACGTCATTAAACATTGATTTTAATTTCTTACAGGACTCATTCCTGCTCCACTCTAAACAGACAAAAGATAAGAGTATATGTGCTGCACCTGTACTGCTGTAGCTCTGTCTCCAGCTGTGTGATGGTGGTCTGAAGCTGCGGCACACACTGAGCCACCTGCTGGATCATCCGGACCCTCTGGAGCCCCTGACTCAGAGCCTCCCTGGCCTCTTCTGCCCTCCTCCTGGTGGACATCATCCAAGATAAGATAAGATAACAGCAGTACTTCGTTCAACAGGGAGCTCACATTGGAGGCGTGGCTTTATTTATATGCACATGAACTTTAACCTTACATATAATTGCCTGTCAGCCATGAACAACAAAACTACAACGCAAATTGATATCACATGTACATGAATGTTAACACCAACCACCCATCCCACATCATCCTGGTACAAAACTCCAACCTGATCTGAGCGTTCTCCTTCCTCAGAGCAGACTCCACTCCGTGAAGCTTCTGCACTTCCTGGTACGCCCATCTCAGCTCCTCCTCCATGCGCTCATTGAACTTCATGGCCTCCTCCAGCTGTCCGTCACGTGACGAGCGAATCAGCTTCAGCTCACGTATAAGAGGGTCCCTGATTTCCTGTCTTCGTGCCCCCTTCCTCGCTGCGTCTCCCCCAGAACCACTGCACTGTCCTTTGATCCTCTGTGTTGGTACCAGCTTTCCCTGCACCAGGGTAATGGAGGTGGTTGGAGATGAAGCTGTGGAGGTGGAGATGGGAGGAGAGGTGAGGGGGAGGGTCCTCTCCCGACGGAGGGCGACTTCCAGGGCCAGGCAGCGAGCGTCGCTCCCCTGCAGCGCCGAGCGGAGGTCCTCCACCAGCTCCCTCAGAGCTGCTACCTCATCTGGAGGAGAAGAAGAAGAGAGACAAGAAGAAGAAGAAGAGACTTAATATTGATGCGGATATGGAGAGCTACAATGGGAATACATTCCCTGTCGTCTCTTAAATACTTAGATCCTCCACACTGGCTGTTTTTAAATCGCTTCTGAAAACCCACCTCTTGTAGATTGTCGCTTGTATTTCCTTTAAAGGGGACCTATCATGCAAAATGCACTTTGGTACGTCTTTTGTACATGAATATGTGTCCCCGGTGTTCCAGGGAACTCACCAAGTGTCAGAAAACACAACCCTCTCTATTTTCCTCCATACCCAAATCTCTAAAAAAGGGGCTGCAACGGATCTGATAAAAACTGATCCAGATTTGAACACTGTCCTGACGTCAGGACGGTGGCGCTACGGCTATTGGGCCAACTCCACCAATCAGGAGGAGACAGCCACGGCCATTGCCGTTCGAAAGCGCTGGAGACGCTGTAGTACATATGCCAGGCCTGTAGATGGTGCTGTTCTCACTGAATCTGCCCTTGCAAAAACAGAGCTAAATAAGTGCAAATTAAGCGAAATGAGGCATGGCTAAAATGCATGATCTGTTTGGTATTTTGAAAAAAAAAAGTATAAATATGCCTTATATAGGTATGATCCTACACTATATTATTATAATATAGCATGATAGGTCCACTTTAAATTGTCTATTTGTTTTACTTGTACTTTTTATGGTGTGTGAGCAGAGCTGTACGATTTGTTTACGTTTTGTTTGTTTATTTGACTGTACAGCACTTTGGTCTGGAGGTTTTAAAGTGCTTCATAAATAAAGCTGTATTGTATTGCTGTACTGCTCCTAGTACTAGACTCCTTGTACTAGGATGGGTTAAAAGCAGAGGCCAAATTTCACTGTGTGTGCTGTGTGCTCTGCATGTGTGACCATTAAAGAGGGTTTCATCCCTCCCTATTCTATTCTATTCTATTCTATTGTATCTTCAAAGAGTTTGACAGAATAATAATTGTCATGTATCTTTTCACACTGATTTTAAAGACACTCAAGTACTTTAAGTTCAAGGTACTTGCATGTTATTAAGTATTTCCTTTTATTGCATCTTTATACTTACACTACACCATATTTTAGAGGGTAATATCAAACGTATTTGACAGCTTCACTTGCTTTACTGATTAAGATGTCACATATTTAACATAATCACTTTATCAAATGTGATGCACTGTTAGACATTAAACTTCCTGACAGTGTATAAAATAGTTTAAATAATCTCCACGTCTATCAATTAGTAACATGCAGTAATAAAACCAGTAATAAGTTACCTTTTGAATGCAGCTACTGCTAATGGAGTTTTAGTTCAGTGTAGTATTGTAACAAAAGATCTGAATACACTCTCCATTATTTTTATATTTGGAGCATATAATGAAAGTGGTGGAAAGTAACTAAGTTCATCCAGTAGTGTGGTTAAGTTATGGGGTACTTTTACACCATTGAACTTAAAGACTTTAGTTATAGCTTGAGTAAATTCACAATCTATCATTAATCTATAAAGGACTTAGATTTGCTCCACCTTTACCAGCTGTTAACATAGTAATACATCAGTGAAAATCTAATTACCAAATATATGTATTACTATTATTACATTCTACATTATAAGGAATTTCACTTTATGTACTGAAAGAATATTTTGATGCCACTACTTTTGGACTAGTAACATTTTCAATGCAGGACTTCTTGTAATGGAGAAATTCCTATTTCTACTTTGACTTCTAACACTGTACATCAATCAAGTGGACACTGTGTGTGTGTAGGTTTGTGTGTGTGGGGGGTAACAACAATGACAGAACAGGTGGTGCTGGGTAGGTCATGGAAGGGGTTAAGAATAAATCAGGTGTCAAATCACACTACACAACCAGTAACTATAAATTGTAACGTAATATGTTTTTTTATGTTACCATCCATTCATTGTTAGTTTGAGATTTGACCAGAGTGAATTTTCTTTTTGAGGTCTGAGATGAAGTCAGAATTTGGAGATTAAGTCAGAACTCAAACATTGTTTTCAGTTTTGGTAACACCCCAACACATTATTCTCATTTGGCCCTATTCTTCTTCAGTAATAGTGATTGTGCAATACAAAATAAACAAAGACACTCTTGAACCTGTCAGTGATCTTCATTTCAATAACAGAGTGACTTCCTGGTTCTGTACCTGACTCGCTCCTGTCCTCTGCTCCTCTTCCTCTCATCCCCCTGTTCTCGGCTCTGTTGTGATCCCTCTCCAGATCAAAACTCACACATTTCCTCCTCCTCACCCTCGGCCACCGGACCCTGATCTGCCGCTGCACGAGCTCCGTATCCTCGGTAACCGGCAGCCGCCACGCGCAGTCCCCTCTCCTTGCACTGCGCACACGGAAATATCCACAGAGCCTCGAGTGGAAGTCTTTAAAGGACAGCTGGCTGGGAAGCACCGAACAAACTTCTGCAAACTCTTCATTTTCCTCGTCTTTTTCTCCACTGATCTTCCTCTTTCCAGGGATCCCCAGCACGACACACAGCGCGCTGAAGTCCTCCGCCGACACCGTGTCCTCTCGGTTGGGTACGGCCAGGTGGTGGAAGACCTCCTGCAGGTATTGGTCTATTCCAGAAGCGAGGACCACGATTTCGTTCTCCACGCCGGGATCCGGGCAGTGGTGGTGGGCCAAAGCGCTCCGAAGCCACTCGCTTTTACGCGCTGCTCTGGTGCGCTCCATGCCTTCACATAAACCACCTCAGTTAGTCTTCTTGATCTCACTAGATACAAACCAGACCACGGTAATTAGGATCGGATGTTATTCCAGTGCAGCAGGAGGCTTGTCCCTGTGGGGTCTGACCTATGGGTCTGACGCGGAGTGATTCTCTGGAAATGGAGTCTATTGAATCCTTCCCGGAGTAAATCTGATCCCCTCGGGGAAGGAAACAAAAAAAGTCTCAATGTACCGACTCCACCCTGTTGAGTGCACACTCTGACAGCTCGTGTGCGTGCGTGTGCGTGCGTGTGTGTGTGTGTGTGTGTGTGTGTGTGTGTGTGTGTGTGTGTGTGTGTGTGTGTGTGTGTGTGTGTGTGTGTGTGTGTGTGTGTGTGTCTGTGCAGAGGTGGGAATTACACAAATCCTTTACTAAAGAAAAAGTACTTAAGTTATTATAACTATTATACAGGTAGATATTATATCATTAGATTATTATTATCTCAATTAATACATTTTTAGTTTTGGTGTAGTGAGAAATACAATCATAATTCATAGAACCAACTTCAAAAGAAAAAGCAGCAAATATTTGCATTTCAGAATATGCAACCATGTTTGCGTTGTAAGAAAGGGAGAGAAAAACGTAAAAGTTATTATTCAAATGTTCATATTTTTGGAGATCTGCCCAAAAGTTTTTTTTTCTTTAGTTCTGAGAAAAAAGACAAAATTGTAAATTGATTTAAAATAATTTGATAAAATGCTAAATCCCAGAATTGTGAATATTCTTCTCAGAATTAAAAAACAATTACAGTTTTGGTCATATCTAAAAAAATCTCACATGTGGGGCCTCATTCTCTCCCGTAGAGTTACAAGTAGAAAACAGCATGACTAAATTACTCAAGTGAAGTAAAATGACCTCATACCATAAGTACAGTACTTGAGTTAGTGTGTGTGTGTGTGTGTGTGTGTGTGTGTGTGTGTGTGTGTGTGTGTGTGTGTGTGTGTGTGTGTGTGTGTGTGTGTGTGTGTGTGTGTGTGTGTGTGTGTGTGTGTGTGTGTCACTGGTTGTTTGATCTCCATTACAAAAGTGGATCACTTTTCAACTATTGCCAAAACAGTTTGCAAGTCATATATCTCTCTCACAATGATCCAGTTCTTCTTTGTTTCCTCTGATTTGGTATCAGATTTAAACACACATTTCATTTAAGTGAGGTAAATGATATCATTTGACGTTTTGTGGCACCTTGTCATCCAGAGACAAAACAAACCGCGACAATCCAGAGTGAGTCATGGTGGGTTTAAGTTACTTAAACCAATCTGAAGTGGATCTGACTCACTGTTCATTTGGTAGCAACAACAAAACAAGTCTCCTGAAACTGTGCACCTTCTGCAGAATAAGCACACACACCTTCACTTGGAAGTCAAATATGAGTTTGTTTCCAGGAAATACCTTTCCCCACCCTGACCACCACTCACACACCTGACAGCGACACAAAGAGAGCGTCTTTGTAACACACACCTAGGCATGCAGAGACCCTCCCACACACATCAATTACACTCCACTGCTGCACCTCATTATAGCAGTACACACACATGTAGTGCATCAGAATGAGTGCATATAGTATTGTCAATTAAAGAAAATGGAAAAATGACGTATTCAAAACAAGTTGTATTTATATAGCCCAACATCACAAAACACATTTGTCTCAGTAGGCTTTACAGGTTAATACACATGAATGACAATATATGATTTCAAGAATAACAAGATAGACTATAAAAACAATTAAAAATAAAGTAAAATCTCCCATATTTATTGAGACATTGATGAGCATGCTATGGATGTTTGGGTTGCTGATCAAAAATGTCTCAAAAAGGCTGGGGAAGAAGGACATAACTAACAAAACATTCCAATCAAATTAGAGCTGAATGAAGCACCTCAGGTAAAGTGAAGACATGTTTTTGTTTTCTTTTGCTTTAACGTATTAGTATGCAGTACATTTTAATTGAACAGTTTCACCATGCATGGATTTACAGCGCATAGTTAGTACATCAACCAATGCACAACCAAAACAGCAAGAGGATAGTGCTTTGTAGCTATCGGTAGCCTATGTAGCTAACTACCAAGTTCTTTGCATTTACTTTCCTTTACCCTAACCCTACTAATGCCGGATGGTGGAACAACCGAAGTTATGGTAGAAAACTAAATGCAGTGTGTCCTGTGTTGTTGATAGTTGCTAAGCTCTGAGGAAAACGGATAGTGATCCGGTCGTCACTGCCACAGCAGTGCCAGCAAAAATACCCCTTGAAAAAGCTTTTTGAGAAAAAGTTAGTCTATTTCCACCGTAACAAACATGGAGTTTAAAGAATAACTAAAATGGACCATGAACGAAACTGAAGAATGTCTACAGATGAAGAACCCTCTTTGTCACCTTTACATACTGCACACTAATGTACTGTCTACAGCAGATGAGTCACCTGAAATGACATGAGCCCTCAAAGGGAAACCATCACGTATTGTTTGGTCTTTGTTTTGGTCTGCAGCTCTAATCTGAATATGGTTGAGCTGCAGCACTCAGTCTGACTCATGGGGCTTTTACCTTTGGATTGGTGAGCGTACAGTCCAAGCCACTTACAGCTACTTCCCCAAAACAAACACACATCTTCTCTCGAGCCCTGATGATATAAAAAACACACGTATCTCCTGTGGACTGCGACATGTGTGAGCAGGCAGATCTCAGATCTGTCTCGGATCTGTTTTTCCTTTCAGACTGCCAGGGGAAAGATCTGTGATTTGAACAGTCTGAACAGTAAAGGTGACCTTTGTCAGTGCATACATGTGTGTAACCGCCCTGTGTAACACACATGTGTGTAACTGCCCTGGTTACACACATGGTACTTTTTATTAACGCACAAATGGACAGGTAAATACATATAATCAACTTCTTTATCACATGTCATTATGCAAGATACGATTCGAGTGAAATGTAATCATGTTGTTCCTTCATTTTATGCATAAAAAAGGTTTAAAATGTACAGCTTACTACTGCACATCCATCTTGTGGTGTTCATCATGCAGCAAACATTTAAGATTCGTAGTAGAAATAACTCACAGTTTGGTAAAGTTTAGTATAGTTTTTATAGCATTCTTACCGATTCCTGCACATTTGTACTGATTTTAGTGGAAAAACGTCATGCTGTAAAGAAAGGTTTCAGTTTAAGTCAGCTTGTTTTGCGCTAAAGTACAACCCTGCACACACATACTGTACAAAGCCCACCCACAGGGAGTTTTAGATGACCTTTGGTGATGTTGTTACAGTTAACTGTTAGCTGTCAGAAACAGTCAAACCTGCAGCAACACATCCATTTCCAGAGGCTCCATAACTAAAAAGGGTCTAATAACAGTGTAAAATGGGTGTAATAACTAAATAAATAATAAATAAATAATTTTGGTTTAACATGGGTTTTATATGAGTGTAATAGGTTTAATAATATAAACGTATACCCTATAGGCAATGTATTTAAGTATGAAAGTTGTAAAATAAAGGTCATATTTAAACATTTAAATAAAACGAAATGTGTCATTTTAGCCTAGATACATTAGAAAATAGCAATTATTGAATTGCAATTATTTATATGAGCTTGCCCATTCAAGGGGTAAAGTACTGTGCTTGAGTACATGTACTTACTTGAGATACAGCTCAGGGTTCCAGCTCAAGATGTCTTAGAAATATGACATAAAAGGTGTTTTGGTGAGGTTAAATGCTCCTTATTTGTGTGTGTGTGTTTGCATCAGGGTAACGAGAGGTTAATGTCTGACTCGCCCTCGGTCCTGCTGTCAGTCCTCCAGCTGCTGCTCTCTGGGTGAAAGGACCTGATCTGAAAAGGAAAGGATAGAAAGCAAGAAGAGGGGGCTGTAAATCAAGAGGAGGTGTGGGGGTCTGCAGTGTGTGTGTGTGTGTGTGTGTGTGTGTGTGTGTGTGTGTGTGTGTGTGTGTGTGTGTGTGTGTGTGTGTGTGTGTGTGTGTGTGTGTGTGTGTGTGTGTGTGTGTGTGTGTGTGTGTGTGTTGGGAGTGTGTTTGTCTTTTTGGTGACCCTCAGAGGAGCATATGGCAGTCAACACAAAGCCTTAACCCAGATCCTATCAATACTGATACCGCCTCTCAGAGGTGGACAACAGGACACTCGGGCATGCATGCATGAGCTCACACACACACACACACACACACACACACACACACACACACACACACACACACACACACACACACACACACACACACACACACACACACACACACACACACAGTGATGACACTGACCGATGTGATGAGAGGGCTAGTCCTGGTTTAACCCTGCAGCGATGTGAGGGTCTCTAAAGGTGAAGGTCTCACATGTTGACCTATATGCCATTGTTTTGGGTGTCCTCTTACTTCTTTATTGATCTGTGACCATTTCCTGTCAGGGCCTGCAGGTTCGAAGACTGAGCCACATGTTCAGGACAGGATAAGATTAGCATATAATCACATCACGTGACTGTGGACATTTGTTGTTCTTTTGAGGTCTTTTTGTGTCTTTTCTGTCTTAGTTTCCTTGTAGTTGATTTCTGTCTTTTAATCAGGATTGTGCATCCCTTAGTGGTTAATCTGTGTCTATGGTAATTGTTTATATTTTGGCAGTTTATATTTCAGGTACAAGTCAACATAGATAGACACCAGATCAGACTGAAATTATGAGGCAGGATGAAGGATCCAATACTGTAGAGGACGTTCGCCATCAGACAGCTACAAACTAGCATGGAACTAAGGAGAGTTGTTTTTCACTCACTCCATAAAGTCACTGTAAAGCTAGTATGTATGCTGACTCCACTGTGAAGACTTGGTAAGTGCAAAAACGGACACAAACTTTTCTTTAAGGAAGTTAGAGGACTGATGTAGGAAAGGAGATAACAACACAAAGCTGTTTGCCACCCGGAGATAACCCAGCAGATTGGTTTAGGTGACCCAGATGTTAGGTAGGTACCACATGGTGGAGAAGGAGGACGGTATTATCTGCATTGTTTTAACTGTCATTTAGAATGACCCTGAAACAAACCAGAAGCTGGGCGGAACAAAAACTACCCAAGCACCATTGAAATACCCCAATAAAATGCAGCAGGCTCAAACTAGCAATTGGGTAGATAACAAATCACAGCATTTCTAAGTGTGTGGGGTTCACCAATATAAGTTAATCATATGACCAACGA